CCATTTATGATCTTCCCGGCTGGCTTCCAACAAGCAAAGTTAATGGGGGAAAGCTGGATTCGCTTAACAGCTGCATGATTCATTTAATAACTGCAGTGATTTGCTTAACAACCATGGCAAAAAAGATCATAAAATCAGGGGCAGCTTAACAATTGCCTTGCTTAGCAATGGAAATTCTGTTCCCAACTGTGGTCACAAGTCAAAGACTACCGATATCGAATTGGATAAAAAGCCCTGGTGGCGCAGGGGTTAGAGAATGCAGAATTGCAGGCTAATTCTGCCCACTGCCAGCAGTTCGATCCTCACTAGCTCAAGGTTGACTCAGCCTTCCATCCTTCCGAGGTCCGTATAAATGAGAACCTAGATTGTTGGGGGGCAATGTGCTGAATGTGTAAATGGCTTAGAGAGGGCTGTAAAACACTGTGAAGTAGTATATAAGTCTAAGTGCTATCAACTATTACTGTAATGAAAAGTCTGCAAGAAAAAGTCTGCAAGTTGAGAGAGCAACAAGGACTCCCGGTTCAACCCTGAGATATAAATATTCTCTTCTAAAGACATTGTTATAATCAAAAATAGCTCCGTGTTACTACAAAATCAACACTTCCACAATCTCTGGAAAAAGGTTGTTGGGATTTTTTTCCAGTCGAATTTGGCAGTGTTTTAGCTATGGGAAGACTGATTTTTTCTCTCTCTCTTTTTCTGCTATTCAATTATTTTTTTATTGGCTGACAACGGCCCCATAAAACAGGGTATGTTGGGAAATGCAAAATATGTCCATTGGAAATCCTACGGAATATATTCTAATTGTTTTGTTTTACCAATCCAAATGAAAAATAATAACTTCTCTGATAATTTAAAATATGAATTATACATTAGGTAGGAACCCCCTCTTTTGTGGGTTGTGGGACAATTGCTGTCAATGCCCACCTCTTCAAAAAGATGGTGTATACGTTCACACAACAGCCTTAACCAGTTCAGAGAATGCAGGAAGTGGCTTATTTCAGCCATCAGGTTAAACTTCTGTGATGAACACAGCTATTTTAAACCTTACTTTACTTTTTTTTTAAACAGCCAAGACTGAAATCCAGTTCAATCTGCAAAAAAAAAAGAAAAAAAAGATAAAGCTACTGACCTATTTTTTAATTATTAAATAGCTTATTGATTATTTTAAAAAAACAACTTAGCATTCCATATTAGGTCCAGGGGGAACTGAGTTCTCATCTTTCTTTAGATACAAATGCCAGCTAAGTGGTTTGGGGCCATCTACAAGTAGTCCTTGACTTATGACCACAATAGGCCCCAAAATGTATGCTGTTAAGTGAGACATTTGTTAAGTGAGCTTTGCCCCATTTTACAACCTTTCTTGCCACAGTTATTAAGTGAATCACTGCAGTTGTTAAGTTAGTAACACGGTTGTTAAGTGAATCTGGCTTCCCCCATTGACTTTGTTTGTCACAAAAGCTGATCACATGACCCCAGGACATTTCAACCGTCATAAACGTGAATCAGTCGCCAAGCATCCAAATTTTGATCATGTGACCATGGAGATGTTGAAATGGCCATAAGTGTGAAAAACGGTCATAAGTCACCTTTTTCTGTGCCGTTGTAACTTTGAACGGTCACTAAATGTTGTAAGTTGAGGACTGCCTGTACTCTTTACTTTAATGAGACAGGATAGTAAAAAAAAAAAAAAAAAACCCTATCCCGGAAGAAAGTATTGGCAAATCACTTCTGAAAATGTTGCCAAGGAAACGACATAGTCCTGTTATTATGGCCATCTGATTGATAAAAACAGAGTGCTGTTACATAATACTATTATTATAGGTTACAGGATTTATTACACATTATTAATTCCCAGTTTTGAACAATCTGAATAATGTGAAGCAAGCAAAAGAAAAAAGAAAAAATTCAGAGAAGAGCAACTAAGATGATCAAAGGCCTGGAGACAAAAACATACGAAGTACAGCTGCGGGACTTTGGTTTGGCTAGTCTAAAGAAAAGAAGAAATAGGGGAGACATGATAGCAGTGTTTCAGTATCTGAGAGGCTGCCACAAGGCAGAGGGGGCCAGGTTGTTCACCAAAGCACCAGAGGGAAGGACGAGAAACAATGATTGGAAACTGATCAAAGAGAGAAGCAACCTGGAATTAAGGAGAAACTTCCTGACAGTGAGGACAATCAACCAGTGGATCGGCTTGCCTCCAGAAATCGTGGGTGCTCCATCACTGGAGATTTTCAAGAAGAGACTGGACATTCACCTGTCTGGGACGGTATAGGTTCTCCTGCTTGAGCAGGGGGCTGGACTAGAAGACCTCCAAGGTCCCTTCCCAGCTCTAATCTATTCTATCAAATGGCATTTAGTAAAACCAGCAGTCCATACCTATCCTGCTTCTGTTCAAGCTGGGAATCTATATAGAAATATACAGGTTGTCCTCGACTTATGAACACAAATGGCGCTGAAGCGACACCGGGACACTGCAAACGTCACATACATACATGCTGGTTGCCAAGCGCCTGAATTTTGATCATGTGGCCAAGGGGATGCTGTGACAGTCGTAAGCGCAAGGACCCATCGTAAGTCATTTCCGTCAGTGCTTTTGTAACTTTGAACGGCCGCTAAACAAGTGGTTATAAGTCAAGGACCGCCTGCCTGTATAGGATATTCTTCTTATAGTGTCATCCCTGACATCGATTGGCTCAGCTGCTGTGACATCATGGAGCAATCCCACCATTCCTGAAAGGAGGAAGAATATTTATAGTCTAATCTTCCGAAACGGCAGGGATAAACATCAATTTGGCTGGAATTAGTTGACTCTGCAATTCGAAAAGGTGAAAAATATATATGTGTGGAATGAGTTTTCAAAGATTTCATTTTACAGAGCACTGAAAAAGACAGATGCTTGGGGGGGAAAATAGCTGCAGAAACTCCAGGAACGGAGACATTAAAAAAAAAAACAAAAAAAAAACTCCACCCCAACAGATTACATTTCATTTCACTCGGTTTTGGGATTCTCCCAGCATTTTAATATTTTCTCCTGGTGCCGAAAATCTCTGGTTAGTTCCCGAAGGGCTTTTATGACAGCAAAGGGTAACCATACTGAAAATACAATTACTGTACCACCTTAAGTGAATTGATTTCCAGATAAAATGGCTTGGTTGATGGGGAGATGGAAATTTCAACACTGATAGCTTATTAAAAGAAGAACGTGCTGTGAAAATGGATTTTTGTGTGCAAAGGAGATGTATATATTTCTTACGCATGACGGTTCCGGTTATTTGCAAATCTCAATCCCACCCCTCACTCTTTGTGGTAAAACATCTCTTATCTGGTGTTCAGAGGTAGACTGCATCTAAATAAGGAGGGTCTTTTTTTTTTCTTTGTTTGTTCTTGCCATGACTAATGCTCACTCTAGACCCAGTATCAATTATCCTCCACATTGGTATAGTTAGTAGTTGGATCTTGCACTGAGTGACAAACTATCAGTCCATATAAGAATAATGGTTTGGGGAAAAAAATCATGTTATTGGTTAACATCAAGTGATGTTTCCTTTTGGCTCAAGCCGTTTCTTGGAAGTTGGAAACGATCCGTTTCCAATGTAACCTCCTTTTAAGATTTCTTAACTTAATTAACTCTGGATTTGGATAAAGCGTGTATTTAGCGCATTGTTTTATTTGCAACAATGCGGAGCTCGGAAGAATCGACCTTTATTTGTCCTTGGCGTTTATTGCTTAGAGATAGACTGCCTCTGAACAAGGAAGTTCCGTTTTGTTGCTACAGGCTAAAACTCCTGACAAATCCATACTCTTCGCCGATATTTACCGAATCCGGTTTGAAACATTCCTCTTTCGCCCGCTTTCTTTCTACTCTGCCTATGTTTTGAGGTGCTTTTTCTTTTCTTATTGCTCACATCAATGGACAATGGCCCGTCCGCTCCGTCCCTCCCTGGCATCCTGGATCGCCCTTCCCTGCACTCTGCACACCCTCAGAGACGCTCTGCACCGGCTCCGTGCTCTAATTTCCATCCGCCCCTCCGTCTGCTCGGAGCTCCGTCTCCTACCCGCTCCTGCAGAAGATCCAAGCCACTGCTCTACTACCGGAAGGCAAGACAAGAAGCAATGAGTAAAAACTAACCAAGGAGAGAAACAACCTGGAATTCAGGAGAAACTTCCTAACAGCGAGGACAATTAATCAGTGGAACAGCTTGCCTCCAGAAGTTGTGGGTGCTCCATCACTGGAGGTTTTTAAGAAGAGACCGACAGCCACTTGTCTGAAATTGTGGGGGCTGGACTAGAAGACCCGCAGGATCCCTTCCAGATCTATTCTGATTGATTGATTGATTGATTGATTGATTGATTGATTGATTACTGACTGACTGACTGACTGACCGACCGACCGATCACCTCCTCCGCCACGTCCCGATCGCCCTCCTCGCCTCACCTCGTCTATCTCCGTTCCTTGGCCACCTGTCTCCTCCGCCCTCTGTGCGCGCCCAGAGGCCACGTGCCGAACCCGTCGCCTTTCGCTTCTTCTCTCCTGCTCGCTTTCGGACGCGTCCTCGTCGCCATCGCCCCTCTCTCCCTCTCACCACTCGGGCGACCCGTTTGAGAAGCCCTCCCTGCCCTGCAAGGCGGCGATGCCCCCCTGCCCAGAGGCGGCCGGGCGCCTCTCTCGGCCCACCGACCCGCCCTCTTTTGGCGGGTCCCCGCCGCGTCCAGCGCCCCCAGTGGCCCAACCGCGCCAAGGCAGCCTATCCCGTCTTCGCCGGGAAAGCGAGCGCCAGGCAGAGCGCAGAGCGCGTCCGGCCACTGGATCGGCTGCAGCTCGAGCAGCGCCCGGCTGGCTCTTTCCTCCGCCCCCGACGCTCCCATGGGCGGGCCCTGCCCGGCCCCTTCCCTCCCCTCCTAGGCGCCCCCAGCCCTCCTGTCCACCTAGGGGCCGGGGGGGGCGGAGGGGCCGGGCGCCCCAAACTTTGCCCGCCCACGCCGCGCAGGCTTCCTCTATGGAGTTGCGCCGGGCGCTCCTCTGCTGCTGGTGCCTGGCGCTCCCCTGCAGCCTTTTGCTGCTGCTGCTCCCCGCGCCGGGCCGGGGTCACCCGCAGCCCTGCCACATCCTGGCTCGGATCGGGCACACGGTGCGGCTGGGCGCCTTGCTGCCCCGCGGAGGAGGCGCGCAGAGCCGGGTGCGCAATGCCCTGGCTCGGGCCAGCCGCGCCGCCGCCGCCGCCCTGCCTTACAACCTCAGCCTGGAGGTGTTGCCCGGGGCTCCCCTCTATCGGGACCCGGCCTCGCTGGCGCGCTGGCTGTGCCAGGCGCTGGTGGTGCGAGGAGTCGCCGCCGTGCTCGCCTTTCCCGCGTCCCGGCGGGAGCTGCTCCAGGTGGATTTCGCCGCCGCCTTTCTGGACATCCCCTTCATCAGCATCAGGCAGGCACCGGAGCAGGAGGGCGACGATGGCGACGAGCCCCCCATGCCCTTCAGGACCCGGGTAAGCCTCCTTCGCCCTCCTTCTCTAGAGCCTCCACAGCCAGGGGCAGCCTGTCTTCCAGGGCCGCTGCCGAGGAAAAAGAGCAGGGCAAGCCGCCGTCCAGTTTGAAGGACGCTAGAAGCCTCCATGTGCAGGTGCAGTCTATCTTAGACGAGGTAGATTCCTTGGGGAGAGAAGACTGGGCAATTTCTGATTACCGTGGCCCTCCGGTTGACTCATGTGGTGCCCAGCTACTGTAAAACGGAGTATTGTGATGATTGCTATTGATTTCCACATCCGTGAGTATTCATTCTTCAGGTTGCCGACTGCTAGAAAAATACCAGCCGGAGAATTCTGTTGCCAGGGCTGTTTATCTTTAAACCATTCTTTACTACTCCCGTGAATTTCCATAGACACCAACTGTCGACTTTCATCTGTTGGATTCAGGGAAGACCCGTCGTAGATCCTCATCCTATATTTAGGGCAATGGTACCTATTGTAACTCGGCTCTTGCACTGTAGTTCTAGCCCTCCAGCAGATAAGCTACCCTTAGATATGGAAGCTCGCAAGAATTTACCCATTAACACCCTCCAGTATCCAGAGTCAGAAAGAGACGCCGGGGCAAAGAAACGTGTTGCCTTCCAGATGTTTTGGACTTCGGTTCCCAGCATCTTTTGCCAGTACACATCTGGGGAGCATCAGGTTGAGAAGATTGCAATAGCCATTTCTTGCTATGTATCTCATTTGGCAAAGAATAAATTATATCTGTCCTCGTGTGGCTTTCCCATCTTCTACTAGGTGGAGCCTGAGAGTACAGTAACAATCTGCCTCTGCCATTCCTGGGAACAAAACAAAATCGATCATCACTTTCATTCCTTGCTTGTGGCATTCTTGGAGTCATCGTCACTACCCAGTGTACGGAAGTGGATGTTAAAATTTATTCATTAGATAGTTTTTCTCTGTTTCAAATCAAGACAGCTCTTCTTCAGCCGTCATGCACCGTGGGCTCCCTTATTCAGAGGCAATCTATCTAAATGTTAGGTGCTAGGAACTGGGGAGCCACCATGTTCAAAGGTGGTTTACCCCATAAATAATGGGTCAAAGGAACTACGGCACAGGTAAGAAAGAATATTGCAGGACACCAACCCTATTAGCTCTGGAGTCAGACATAAATCAATAAGATTGAAGGTTTCTAATTTCTGGAAGAACATCTCACGATACAGAGAAACATAGGAAATGGTTGAATTTTGAGTCGTGTAGCTCAATACTGCCTGTGTTAGCTCTTTGAGATTCCTGATGTACAGTATAGATTTTCCAGCCTTTCTTGGAAATATACTTGGACCTGAACCGGGAGATTTTTCCCAATGATGCTGTTGCTCTGATCTCAAAGCACAGGGTGCTTGTTGTAGCCTCAACTCTTCCTTAACTCTTAAGAGAGAAGATGGCAAGGAAGTAACAGGCAGTAGAGAGAAAACAGAGCTGCTTAACTCATTCTTTGCATCAAAAAGAAACTATAGCCCAACCTACCAAAAACATAACTGTAAAAGACAGACTAGAAATAAAAATTACAATAAGCAAGAAAATGGTTAGAGAACATCTATCTGATCTTGATGAATATAAATCATCGGGACCTAATGGATTACATCCCACAGTTCTGAAGGAGCTGGCAGATGTTATCTCAGAACCATTGAACCATATCTTTCAAAAATCCTGGAACACTGAGAAATTACCTGAGGATTGGAAAAGAGCTGATGTATTTTCCATCTTCAAAAAAGGAAGGAAAAAAAAAACAGACCCAGGAAACTACAGACCAATCAGTCTAACATCAATACTTGGGAAAATTCTGGAAAAGATAATCAGATAAACAGATCTGAGAAACAAATAACATCTAGACATCTAGAAACAAATAAAGTTATAACTAAAAGCCAGCATAGGTTTGTTAAAAGCAGATCATGCCAAACCAATCTTATTTCATTCTTTGACCAAGTAACTAAATTAGTAGACCAGCAAAATGCTGTGGACATAGTATACTTCAGCAAGGCATTTGACAAAGTAGATCACAATCAGCTTCTTGGTAAGCTAGAAAAATGTGGGATAGACAACATTACCTCAGATGGATTTGTAACTGACTGACAAACCATACTCAACAAGTCGTCCTTAATAATACTACATCTACATGGAGGGAAGTAAGCAGTGGGGTACGACAAGGTTCTGTCTTAGGCACAGTACTCTTCAATATCTTCATAAATGACTTAGATGAGGGCATAGAAGGGGAATTCATCAAATTTGCAGATGACACTAAGCTGGCAGGAATAATCAACACCCCAGAAGACAAGCTCAGGATCCAAAAAGATCTTGACAGACTTGAACAATGGGCTCTATCCAACAAAATGATATTTAATGTGGAGAAAAGTAAGGTTCTACATGTCGGCAGGAAAAACCAAAGATATGAGTACAGATTAGGCGAAACCTGGCTCAAAAATAGTGAGAGGGACCTTGGAGTCCTAGTGGACGATCACTTAAATATGAGCCAGCAGTGTGTGGCAACATCCAAAAAAGGTAATACAATCCTTGGTTGTATAAAGAGAGGCACAAAATCAAAATCATGTAAAGTATTTGTACTGCTTTATAAAGCTTTAGTAAGGCTACACCTGGGATACTGCATCCAGTTTTGGTGACCACATTACAAAAAACATGTTGAGATTCTGAAAAAAAAAGTGCAAAGAAGAGCAAATAAGATGATAAAATGCCTGGAGATAAAAACATGAAGAACAGTGGCAGGAACTGGATATGGCTAATCTAGAGAAAAGAAGGACTAGGGGTGACAGGATAGCAGTTTTCAGTATTTGACAGGTTGTCACAAAGAGGAGGGGGTCCACTTATTTTCCAAAGCACCAGGACAATGGATGGAAACTAATCAAGGAGAGAAGCAACCTGGAATTAAGGAGAAACTTCCTAACAGTGAGGACAATTAACCAGTGGAACAGCTTTCCGTCCAAAGCTGCCGCTGCTTCATCACTCGAGGTTTTTAAGAAGAGACTGGACATCTTTTGTCTGAAATGGTATAGTGTCTCCTGCTTAAGCAGGGGGTTGGACTAGAGGATCTCGAAGATCCCTTCCAGCTCTATTCTGATTCTGATTCCCTTGATGATTCTATTCATTTAACATTTCAGGAGGGGACAAGACGGCAGATTTCGAGTTAGCTCCAATACCTGTTCCAGCATGTAAATTTCCCCTGTATAAGATGAGATTGTTTGAACTGTAGACTGCCTTCCTCTCTGTTCTTGAATCACACACAAAGCTGTTGCAATTGGAGAGATACCTTTCCAGCCAAATGATGGTATTCTCCCCCAAATAACAAGTTCTAAAAAAATCTTCTGTTTAAAAGCGCTGATGTCTCTGTTATTTTCATATTTGTTGCAGAACAAAGGGAGTTTTCCAAAAAGTGGACGTTTTGGTTCTCTGTCACTGCAAGCTGGGTTCCAGTGGGTCATTGCTCCTCTTAGCAATTGCTATTTCACGCAGGGATCTAAGGATCCTTTTTTTGCTGCGCCTTCTGTCTTTCTTCCTCAACGTACAGCTACTCCAAGTCAGGGGTCCCACTAGGTGCTGCCTATATTTACATTTAGGTTTTTAAAAAGAAAGCATACACACATTTGTTAGACCTTTGTAAAGGAAAGCTGTTTTTTTCTATGTCATATAATTATTCTGTTTAATAGATGAGAATATAAATAGCTCAGGATTTAACAGTGGAGTTCTCGGTGTTCAATGATTTTGGTTATTTACTTGCAGAAGTTACATTATCCATCATCAATGCGAGTGAGTGTATACACACTCACTTCCTGTTTGTATACAGTTGCTTGCCCTGCTAGTGTTGGTGGTCCTGTTGTCTTCTTCAAGGTAGTTCCTTGGTTGGGGTATTATTTTCTGTTCAGTTGTTTGTCTGGTATCAATCCTCGTTTATCTGGTGTTGGAGAGTACGTCTCAGTGGTCTTTTTGTTTCCTTCTGAGCTGTTTTATTGCCTCTTGAATGGTATGTAAATGTGATTTATCTCTGTCTGTTGATGGATATTTAACATAGTGTGGACTGACAGCAGCTTCTGAGATATTTTAGGGACAGAAATAGCTTTCTTCTGCAGATGTGCAGCTGCAGGTATGTAGATGCAGAGGTGTGTGCCATTCTTATAACCCTTTCCCACTTGTGAACTCTCCCCTGCCTCCTAATAGATCGGACCACTCCTCTTTTATCTTCACAACAACCTTGCAGGGTAGGTTGAAGCATAATCACCGGCTCATGTCCAATCAGTGAAATTGATTTCAGAGCTGGGATTTTGGCCTGTGTTTCTCAGTTCTACCTCTCAAGAGAGTGAGCATCTAGATCAGAAGTGTCCAGCCTTAACAAGCTTAAGACTTGTGGACTTCAATTCCCAGACTCCCCAGCTAGCCTTGCTGGCTAGGGATTTCTGGGAGTTGAAGTCCACAGGTCTTAAACTTGCCAAGGCTGGACACCCCTGATCTAGGTGTTATTCTGCAGTGGCATACAGAAACCCCTCCTTGTGGCCCACTTTACAACTGGAGCGTTCCCCAAGGCTAGAAATAAAGCTTCTCAGGGATCAAGGTTCTGTGCAAAAAAACCCGGAGTTGGTAGCAGAGCCCTCTTCTGAACCATGTCCACTTTTATTGGCACACGGTCACTTTGCTTTAGCCCGGCTGGTTTTTGTGTAACACTCCCTGTCCTCTGCCGCTCTGCAGTAGCCTGCAGATGATAGTTAAGAAATGGGTTGGGTTTGTAAAGCCAAGGAGGGGGGGGAGCTGCTCAGGAACAGGGGGGGGAGGAAGCTCCTCCAGATACACCAGGTACCCAAAGCTGAGGTCGTTGGCACCCATGCCTGGCACAATTAAAGCAACCGGGGCATCTTGGAACAATGAGATCAACCGTGCACAGTTTTACCCATTCCATTGTGTGCCCTCCAGCTAAAACACTATTTGGGGAACAAACAGAGTCCCTGGACACTCCAATG